AAAAGCCAGCGCCTTAAATAGATCGCTCTGAAGTGGAGCATGAACTGAGCCACTTACAACGATAAATTTATCGATTTACAGCGATAAATAACTGAGCGAACGAGAGCTCAGCACAAGTTACGCTTATGCTATTGTTAACTCTGCATAAATAGTAGTATATACAGATTAGCGAACACTTAACAACTGTAACGATATGTTTATCGATTCCAGACACATTTCGATTATTATAATGTATCGATTGTCTCAATCATATCATATCAATAACTGGCGACTTGAAAATCAACTTTAATTGGGCGTGCATTTTGTTTGTAGTCTTAGGCGAAGCTGACTGTAACGATAAATTATCGATAACAATTTATCGATATCAATTAATCGATAATTAATTATAATTATATCACCCTTATATAGCTCCCAAATATTGCAGCTGTTGCGCAAAATGATTGTGAACAATTCAGTTGCAACGATAATGTTAAGCATTTTAATCGATAAATCAATTTAAAGTTATCGATAAATCCCTCTATTGGGCTTCAATGGCAACTGGCTGTATGACTTTTTGAATTGGGCTTACATGCAACTTAGAGTCTTAACAAAATCAATCACTGATTAAATTTGCACATTATAAGCTATCAGATTTATCGATAATTTATCGATAACACTAAAAACCGCATTGCTGTTGCGCTCTCCCTCGCTCTCTCTCTCTCTCTCTCTCTGTAACCTGTGTTGCCATAGTGAATCCTATATTGGCACACACTCAAGTGAATACACACACACACACACACGGACTCATTGACCAACAGCAAGAAGTCATCATTATTTTGAGTGAAGCGCCAAGTTTTGCTGTTGAACAAGACGGCGAGTACAGGTAGAGACAGGGGGAGGAGCGGGGCGAGCGGGGCGAGCTTTGTGCTTGGACCGCTCGCTGTTTGTCGCAGCAACAACAACGACAGGAACGAGAAGAACAAGAACAGCGCTTTTCCCAGCGGGATAGCAACGAAATGAAAATGGAAATGGAAATGGAAAATTGTTGTGCGATTTTCATTTGGTTCTCTGCTTCGGCTTGTTTCTGTTTGCCAGCAGCAGCAGCCCTTTTGTTGTTATTGTTAAAACGACATGCCGTCAGATTCGCACAGCGGGACAGCCTGTACTACTCCAGTCACTCTATCATTTAATCATTTCGGGCGATAATCAACGCTCGCCTAGTCCTCCATGGTCACTTGCATTTAAGCTTTGGTTAATTTAATCGTTGCCAAGGTTGCCGTTGACTATCTTGTCCGCTTTAATTCCATTTAAATCGGCCATTTATAATCTTAGACTCCTTCTGTCTGTCAATTTACAGAAGCTTCGATTTCTACAGTCAACTAATCGATAGGCACACTTCACCTCCATGGTCACTTACATTTCGATTACGTAAATATTTTAAAACCCTTCTCTTGTCCCTGCATCGAATTTTAATATTTTCTTATTGATGTTTCTTATCCATGTGAAATGGCAGTGCGCCGTTTTCGATTATGATATTTTGTATTATTATCTCTATAAAATTTGGTCCTGATTGACTGTCTGATAGACTTACTTATCGTTTGACTAACTGATTGAATGAGTTTCTGACTGGTTGATTGACTGTCTGAGTGTTTGACTTACTGCGTGATTTACTGGCTGACTGATTGAATGGCAGTCTGAGTGGCTGATTGATTGACTGATTGAGTGAGTGATGGGGTGACTCATCGTTTGACTCCCTAATAGTCGATTGATTAACGAATTGATTGCTTGATTGACTGACAGTTGACACAGTGACTAACTGATTGATTGATTGTCTGCATGACGGCCTGGCTGACAGACTGATTGCGCTAGTGGCTGGATGTCGCATCGCTTAACTATCTGAGAGTCTGCTCGATTGATTGACGGATTGACTGATTGATTGATATATTGATTGACTAACTAACTGACTGATTAATCGATTGAGTGAATGACTGACTGATTGATCGACTGTCTGCTTGACTGACTAAGTGACAAGCTGATTAAGTGAGTGACAACTTATCGATTGACTAACTGAGATTTTGATTGATTGATTGACTGACTCTCTGATAGACGAATTGACTAACCGACCTACTGATAGGTTGCTTGACGGACTGACTGATTGACAAATTGACTGGCTGATCGATTGATTGAGTGACTGATTGACTAACTGATCGAATGAACAACTGAGTTATTGCTTGATTGACTGACTGATCGATTGATTGACAAATTGACCAATTAATCGAGAATGACTGCCTGAGCTATTGATTGACTCGCTAGCTGACTGACTGATTGATTAAATGACTGATTGACGGACTGATTGACTCACTGACTTATTGACTTAAATCGATTGATGAAGTGACTGACTGATTGACTTACTGACTGATGGACGGACTGACTGACAGATTGACCGACTTATATACCTAAATCGATTGATAGAGTGACTGCCTGACTTATTGATTGAATCACTAGCTGACTGACTGATTAGCAGACTGATTGACTGACTGATTGACCGACTTATTGACTTACCGACTTGCCTATATAAGTAGGTCACTACAGACAACTAATCTACCCAGTTTCCTTCATAGGAAATCTCTAACATATGCTGGCACAGTTCATTAGCCAATTGCCAGCTAAGATCAGCCTGAAGTGGTTTAGGCCAAAGTTAAAGAAACTGTTTTCAAACAGGAAATCCCCAAAAGGCACAAGTTGTAAGTTATTTTGATACCCTGCAACCATTTTAAATGTCTAACTATGTAGGGTATATAATCAACGGCAATTTAAGCTACTTTATCGAAAGACTTCATCATATTTTGTTAACATTAAGTTGTCAAAACTTATGCAATATATATATAAAATGGAAATCATCAAAAAGAACGCAATCGCATAAATGTGGCTTATCAAGGTATCAAAATGAGCTTGCGTCGAACCAGCAAGCGTGAAGTTGCCGGTTCAAATCCAGCAGTAATTTGCAATTTATATATATTTGTTTATTTAGTTAAAACTTATTTGTTATTGAATTTTTTGTGCATCTTTTTGAAGATGAAAACTTAATCAAAATTCAATTTTTACATGCTGATAGGCGCACAATGTTTTTAGAGGGTATCTGCCTGTTCGGCTACGTGTAGTCTTCTATTACTTGTTCCGCTTACTTTTGACTGGAACTAAATACTAAGCGAAATATATTTTGTTTCAAGGCTTTTAAGCGCGCTTAAAATAGTTGAACATACTTGTTGTTTGTTCTTAGCTTGTTCTGCTGATGCTGCTGCTGCTGCCAGTGCTGCCGCTTCTTCTTCCTCTTCGGCTACTCTTCTTGTTCTTGCTAGTTGTTGTTGCCGCTTCGCTGCGTATCGTTAGACAACAACTCAAAATATTTATGAAGATGCCGGGCAAAGTTTTTGGTGGCAGGCGACATGAAAACTTGTCGAAACAATCTGCAGGGCAGTGTCAGGCAGCACCTTGTTGCCCAGCCCCCCCCCCCCCCCTCCGCCACCCTGGCTGCCGCCCCCTTGCCGCCCCCTTGCCGCCCAACTTATCCGACTCCTTTACATATGTATAGCCCACAGCATGGCTGCAAACTTTGGACATGTGTATTAGTGGTCCGCACAACGTTGCGTATGAGCTATTCGAAATTTATGCACAAGCTGCAGGTCAACTGACAAACAAGCACATAAATCAATTCATCGAATAACACGGCACACACACACACACGCACACACACACGCACGCACACACGCACAACACAGCTTGTAGTTAAACGTGTAGCCATTTAGCAGCGGGCTGCGTGTGCGCAATTATTGGGATTTTGCGCACAACAAGCACAAACACAACAGCAAGAAGTAAAGCTGTTCGAGTCGAAAGTACCCGACTAGAAGATACCCTAGACCCAAGCCAAGCTACAGGCAAATCAGGCGCACTTTATGCAGCGGCTGTGCTTCTTCTACTCTTCCCTTCTTCCCATATCAAAATCGATATTTATCAATACTATTAAAATAGAAGGAAACATGGCAAATATGTGTTGAGCTCGTTGTGCATATGATCTACAAAAGTATATATATACAAATTTAAGTCTATAGCTTTGGTTGTTACCCATTTCCCGCCCTCGGACAGGCGGAGAGACAGACAGACGCCTGCTGCCCTTTGTTGAATACGTTGGCGCATAACCAAACGACCCTCGCACACAGTTTCGATGGGTTCAATAACCAACAAGAGCCACAAACATCAATCGCCGGCGAGAACTTAATACAAGTTGCTGCCATATGCGGTTGCAGGTCAACAAATGACTCTACAAAGACTCAGCATATTATTAACTACAAGCCAACGTTGAACGATTCCTGTGAACTACAGAACTCCCCTACTACTGTTCTGTGTGTGTGTGTGTGTGTGTGTGTGTGTGTATAAGAAGAAGCTGCCAAGACAAGGAATCGCTCAAAGCTTGCAAAGCTTTTCTGTGAAATCGATAATTATCGTTATCGCTGTGCTGTCTTTTGGGCATATCTCGTAGCTTATAAGAGCTAGAGCCACCAAATTTGAAATGTTGGCTCTCGTATAGTGTGCCTCACTCCGGCTCTTATCATTTTTTGAATAGCTGCGTAAATAATTGCAAACAGGAGGTATTGTCCTGAGCTACGTTGTTTACGCATTTTCTGCTGTCATATTTATTTCCTGAAAATTTCACAAAGATTCGACCACAAAAGGCAGAGTTACTATAGAATATATTATCCAAACATTGTCTGGGGCAAAGCCTCGCCTTGCAGCTCGGCGCGTGCTTTAGTGTATCTTCCAGTGCGGCTTGGCCCGACTAGAACACTCTCTTTTTTTTTTTTATATTTTTGTTGCATCGTGTAGCTGTCGTTAGGTAATATTTTAAATATTTTAAAAGCCTTTTGTGCAGAGCGCCGCGGGGAAGCGAGCTGTTATTTACATAGTCCTTTGATTTATGCAATCAAATATATATATATATATTTTTTTTTTAACGTTTTATTAAAACTTTACTTGAGCGCTTTTATTTTTTGTCGCCTGTAAGTCCGCTTTTGTTGTCCGATTCGATGCAGCTCAAACTAAAGCACATATCACAATTCGAGAGAGAGAGAGAGATAGAGAGAGAGAGAATCGTAGCTTGTGGCTTGGTCAGTGCAGGGCGTACCAGGTGGTGCGACTGATGGCATCGCGCTCTGCCGCCAGCTGCTGCTGCTGCTGCTGCTGCTGCTGCTGCTGTCCGCTGGCGCTGTCGGTTTGGCACGCCTCCGCCTCCGCTTCCGCCTCCTCGGCGGCGGCCAGCTGGTCGAGCAGCTGGCGGACTATCGTCTCCCATTTCTGGAGCACGGCCGGCTGGCAAAGGAACTCGCATTCGCGCTGCTTGTTGCACAATATAAAGGACTTGGACAGGGCCACAAAGCAGACGTCGGGCAGCAGGAAATTGCCGCGCAGCAGCTGCTTGCGTCCCTTCGACTCCGTGTAGATGAGGCAGGTGTTGAATGCAAACAATTTGCAGCTATAGCTGCGCCGCAGCCGACCGTCGTTCAGCTGGAACTCGCCCACCGTGATGAAGCTCGCCTCGTTGAGTATGCTGAACTGTAAGAGGGCACAGATGGCAGAGCTGTTCTGAGTCAGCATCGGCTTTGAGGAGGGGGGGTGGGCAGGGGCAGGAGATTGCGTACCGCATTGAAGTGCTTGATATCGTTCAGCTGGTCCGACTGATTGGCGCGCTCCAGGAGCTCGCGCAGTCGCGTCTCCAGGCGGCAGGCCACCTCGAAGACGCGCTTCGAGATCAGCTGGCGGTGCTCGTAGAATGCCTGGATGAATCTGCTCAGCAGCAGCGGATATTTGGTCACTCGCTGCACGGGCTTCAGCAGGAAGCTGCGTATGCCCAGCGGATCACCCAGCGTGATTTGCAGACGCTGCTAATGAGAAGCAAATAAAACCGATATAAATTTGTATATGATGCATGCATGAATTTCAAGTATGATTTTAGCAGAAATCGAACCCTTAACCGAATCATAGCTAAGCGAATCGTAAACCAAACTAAATTAAGCTTAACAAAAGCATAATTTGCTTAGAAGCATTTTCGGGCATATTTCTAATTGAATATGCAATATTTTATAGTTATTCACAGTTATGCAGTTATAAATGTTAGGCAAAACAAATTCAACTCTAATTGAATATTAATATAAAGCAATTTAATTGTAAATGCATTTCAAATGGAAAACAATATGTCGCAAGCCAAGGCAGACATTTTTAAACCTGCTCAAATATTTACTCATAACAAATTGTTTTGCTGTAAATTGCCCACACATTTGTCAGCTTCTTCTGCTGCTTCTTCTTCTTCTTCTTGGGCTAAAAATAGCAGGCAGCCATTACAAAAGGTTAGCGACGCCATTGCCAACGCCCATGCTTGATTTTATGGATTCCATTGTGCCCAAACAATCAAATTAGTGCGAGCGAGAAAAATGCATGTGGCTGTGATAATGTTAACGACCGGCCATTTTTCGTTCTCTTATTCGAGACCTAGCCTCATGGTGTGAGTAAGCAGGCAGCATATATCATCTTTAAATTCGCCATGTATTAAAGATTCGCCTCAATGCGCTTTTGTTTTGATATTACAAGTGTGTTCGCTCTCTCGCGAGCGCTGAAAGGTTGCGTGCTTCAATTCGCCTTGTGTCGAAGATTCGCCTTAACACGCTTTGTTATGATATTGAAAGTGTGTTCGCTCTCTCGCGAGCGCAAAAAGGTTGCGTGCTTCGATTCGCCATGTGTCGAAGATTCGCCTCAGTTCGCGTACGTATGATATTGCAAGCGCAAGTATGTGCTCTCTCACGCCTGCAGGCTGAAGGCTTCAATTCGCCTTGTGTCAAAGATTCGCCCTAAAGCGTATTGTTATGATATTGCAAGTGTGTTCGGTTTCTTGCGAGCGCAAGTAGCTTGCGTGCTTCAATTCGCCTTGTGTCAAAGATTCGCCTCAAAGCGCTTTCTTATGATATTGCAAGTACAAGTGTATACGCTCTCTCGCTTTTGCTAAAGCATGTAGGTTGCGTGCTTCAATTCGCCATATATCAAAGATTCGCTTCAATATGCTTCTGCTAGAGCTCAGCTGTCATTGTATGGCTCTCTCGCTTGTGCGTTTGCAGCGTAGTGAGAGCAGGCGAGTGAGAAATACTTTTTGACGGCCATTTTAGGTCGAGGCAAGTGCAAGTGCAGCGAAAGTTGAACGATCAGTGTATTACTGTCTCGCTCCTGCCCAAGTGTCATAGGGCACATGAGTGAGCCATAGATTGCAAGCTCACTTGTGATTCGCTGTTTGCTTAGTTCGCTGATAGGGCAGTTGAGAAATAGAACCCAAAGGACCCGCATGTTTCTTTTCGAGTTTTTGCTTACCTTAAAATAGAGCTCATGCTTGTGATAGAGCTGCAGACTGGTGCGCTGGCTGGCCGCAAAGAGCACATAACAATTGAAAAAATCTTGATCGATGAGCGCATACCAACGCTCAAAGAGCAGCTCCAGCTGATTGCGATGCTGCAGCATCAGCGGCAACAGTCTATATCTGTGCAGTTTGGCAATCTGTGTGACATACGGCAGCAGGACATGCTGCTGACCCGCCAGGCCGACGGGCAGCGACGGCAGCGGACTGAATATGTGGCTGTAGCGCTCAATGCCACTGACCAGATCCTCAACATACTGTTGCTCCGTGCTGATCAGCTCGTGCAGCACATGGCGGGCACACTGCTCGGCTACATCGCTGCTGGTTGGTCTCGCACTGGCACTGGCGCTGGCGCTGGTGCTCATGCTGCGACAATGTTGGGCACAGAACTGGCACCCGCTGGATTCGTGCAGCGCCAAGACCCAATTCGCTGACTCAGCTGCAGCTGTTTCTCGGCTTCTCAATTGTTCTTATTTTGGTGCCGGCCCCATCATCGCTGCCGCTTAGTCAGGCGCCCAATGCTGACTGTTTTGCGGCCGCTGCTGCTGCCGCTGCCGCTGCCGCCTGTGGTTGCTGCCCCTGCGACTGGCAATTTAAATTTAATTACACTTTGAGCGGCGACTTGCTAAACAAGCTCCAGCTGGCGGCTTATTGCATTCTTTCTTTATCGTGCCTCCAATTTTAATGACAATTAATTGCTCGTGACTTTGTCCATTGTAGAAATTAGCCACTGTCTTTAGCAGCAGCTGCTGCACCTGCATACGGAGCGTATGCGCAATAAATAAATCAACCGTAATTAAAAGCGTCCTACTAAAGTTGCCCGGCATCTAACCCTCTGTCATCCCGAATTTGCGTTTCTCCTCCATTCTCTATCATGGTCTACCGTCTCCCGTCTCCCGTGAAGCCTTGGCACCGGACTCGCAGCTATAAATTACGTTGTATTCCAGGAATTTGCGAGTGCAAACAACGGCAACAACAACATTAAAAGCAACTAAAAAATGGTATAAATTCATATTTCTGTTTGGCCTGCCAGCGAATCTACGCAAAAGATAACGCTGGCAAAAGCCGAAACAAAACGAAAAAGAAAACGAAAACAACAACAAAATGGAAACGAAAAAATAATAGAAAAAATATATGAAAAATGTAAACCTGGAAAAAAGAAATTGCGGCACAGCGCCAAAAGGCCAAAAGCGTTCCATAAATTGCGCCATGAAATCGGTCCGAAGGGGACAAGTGGAAGACAAACTGATTGTGTTCCAACAGATACCCGAGTGTTGAAAGAGTATGAGAGAGAATCTCGTCGAGAAGCAGGCAGAAGTTAAGGCCGCGAGTCAGAACCAAAAAAACATGCCTGCACAGCTCGATGTCTGACTGATAAATTAATTTTCCTTTAATTAAAGCTCACTTAAGCTTTAATGAAGCTTAAATTGGCTTTAGAGTGTGGCCCCAAATGATGCTTAGCTTAAAGCTCATTAACTGAAAGATAGTCAAGAATAAATATCGCATTCTGATTTTAGTAGCTTTATTTCAAAGCTTCTAAACAAGCCCAAAGCTTGCTTAAAGCTTCCTTGACAGCACGTTGGAATGGAAAGTAAATACGCGATGCAAGCTTAAGCAAAAAGTAAGCATTAATTAGCTATGCGCGGAACTGATGAGCTTTTAATAAAAGCACATTAAAGCTTCGAGGGAGGCTTTTAATAAAAACTTGTACCTAGATTTAAATGTGTTGCTCTCTTAAGCTTTAAGCATGAGATAAGCATTAATGGGCTTTAAGCAAAATTAATGAGCTTTTAATAAAAACTGATCAAGAAGCTTTTGATAACAATTTAAGCTTCCATCTGAACAGCTATTGCTTAAGCTTTATGCATAAGATAAGCTCATCAAAGATTTAAAGCGACTCACTAAAAGCTTAAAGAGCAGATATTGCTATAGTATGATTTTGAAGCCGATCGAATGGTAATTAAATAACTTTCATACGTTTTCCGCTAAATTTCCACATTTGTGCGTGGAATTTAAAATGTACCTGAAACACGTATTCATTTAATTCTTATGCAGCACTGAAAATTGAATTGAAAAATAAGTTTGAAGCAGGTCGAACAAAACTTAAAACTACGCCAAGGATATCTTTAAAGTGCTTTTTTTCACCGAGCAAGCTTGGAAGCTGCGAAATTAATTTGAACCCAGAACTTGACCCACGAAATTTGTAAGCTCCATTTCCACCAAGGAGGAATTGATTCTCCGAAAAGTGTGAAACACATATTAGATGAATTTTCACAAAAAAAAAGTGAGTTTAAAGCCGATCAGATGGTGAGTAATTAAGTTGAAGACAACCATTTTTCGCGTTTATTCCACACTTGCGGGTGGAACTTAACGAAAATCCGCCTTAGCCTGCGCCTCCAGAACATAAAGTAACTGCAGGTTAAAAATCAGTCAGTCAATCAATCAGTCAGTCAGTCAGTCGATCAGTCAGTCAGTCAATCAGTCAGTCAGTCAGTCAGTCAGTCAGTCAATCAGTCAATCAGTCAGTTGTCTTCTTTCCGCACGGCCACAGAAATAGCTCTGACAGCACTTGAAAGCTTTCATCCGGATTAATTGTACTTGGCTGGCGTAGTCGAAGCTGGCTTCAAGCTGAAAACCTGAAATTGTGTTCTTCCCAACGTTTATTTACTTGTATTTGATGTTTGCCTGTGCGCTCTCAAGTTCTCAGGTAAATTATGTTCGGGCTTTTCTGCGAATCGCAACAACATTTATTTATGAGTGAAATTCTTAGTTTCCAAGCGATTTTCCTGGCTTCGCTTGGCTTTGTCTGCCTCTGCCACGCCCACAATTCTAAGGAGGATTGTGCGCCACTTGAAATGGCGGCGTGTGCCTCGTCTTTGGGGCTGATAACCAGTGTTGCAAAAGTGTTGCATACTTTGCGGCAGCCCTCGAAATGCAGCAAATTGTAAACACATTTTGGCCAGACACTGCGTTAAGTGAGCCAAGTACTGTGCTTATGGCCCGCTCGCTTAAGCAGGCACACGCACACACACACACCAGCACACACACACCAACACACACACACACACACATGGGCATGGGCCACAGCACGTAGCTCAGCTCAAGCTTCCATCAGCGGATACGCTGTATGCTGGCAAAGTTGGCGAACAGTGCGGCCAGCTCAGCTTTTTTCTAGCTAAATTTGGCTAGTTTTAGAGGTACTCAGCGAAAGGTTAACACGTGTACTTCCCTGTATGCCCTTGCAGAGGAAGTTATAAATATCTTTCTAACACATAGAAGAAGAGAACTCCGAATCCATAAAGTCTCCTTTTTGTTTCATTTATTTTGATGATGTGGCAACTCTGTAAAAAGTAAAAGCAACCCTGTTTATGCCTAGCGATAATGTTACACTTATGTCATCTATTGACTTACACAAATTTAGCTAGAATTCATCTGTGAAAAAGTGGCCATAGATATTCCAGATCTGTAGCTTTATATTGGGTAAAATGTGTGACCAGCCCAGCCAAAGTACAAAAGGTGGCAGCTCTTTGGCTTTTTTGTGCACAGTTGGCAGCCCTGGCAATTTGTGTTTAACTATATTTAGCTATTTATTGAGCTGTTTTTAGCTTTCTTTTGTGTCTTTTTCTCTTGCCTTTTTCTGCAGCGACAAATGGCAACACTGGCTACGGGCGGCTGGTCCGCCACTTAGTGCGCCATTTCGCTGCCAGCTTAGTTTAATGTGCCCAAGTTGAAAGACGTTGATGGAGGAAGGGGCGGAGGGGCGGAGGGGCGTTCCTTACGGCTAAAGTGTTTCGCTCTGCTCGTGATTGACGTGCCGCGTTGACAGGGCATATGATGCTGCTTCTCCTCTTCCACTTCCACTTCCGCTTCCTCTTCTCCCTCTCTCTCTCTCTCTCTCTCTCTCTCTCTCTCTCTCTAGTCGCAGATCGATAAGCCGCCGGACAAATCACGCTGTTGTCCCACGTTAAGCCCTGCTCAACATGAATATGCAGCAGCTGCAGCAATGCTGGCGCTGACTACTCCATTCCCGCCCCAAAAGCACTACCAAAAACGGGGCGCAACTGTGGGCGTGTCAAAGTTGATAATTTAGCCTTTTTTTTAGGTGCTCGTCTTCTCCTCTTAACAGAATCATATAAGCCCACATATACCATTTTGTAGAGTTACAATTTTTACCAAGACGCATTGCCAAATATACCCCGCACTCCCGCTGTAAATAGGGTAGGTTGATCTTTATGTACAGCTCGATAAATACAAAAGCTAGAGTTAAGAAAATCGATATACATATATGTTCATCTATTCCAAAAGTAGCGCGTGGTCTTTACATATCTTCGATAACTGCTTTCATTTGGCACATTATCGATAAATATCGATTTTGAGCATAACTCGAAGATTCTAAGAGCTAGGTACACCAATTTTGGCATGTAGATTCTTGCATGGCTTCTTGCATGTACATTAATAATATTTCACTCTTTGGATAGATAGATAGATAGATTTAAGCGCTGTGCAATTTTCATTACGATCGGACTATGTAATCCGAAGTAAATCAAGACTGCATTCGGCATATACTAGATCAAAGGAATTTTGTCTTTTTGGGCATCGGGCCGTGCTCTTGCTTGCTTGTTGCTTTCTCTCAGTGTAGCATCATCATTCGCTGCTTAGCCTGGCAGCTGCTGCCGCTCGTGTATCTGATGGATGCATTTGTATCTGTGGCCGCTTTCAAAGCTGTTTGCTTAGCTGGTGCTGGCGATTAAAGGATTTACAGCATTTGTTGTTGCTGCTGTTGTTTGTTGCTGCCGCTGATTAAACACAATTTATGTTGGTCCAAGTGGCGACCATTAGCGCATCCAGTTGCCGGCTGCCTGGCGCCAGTCGCCCAGCTGCATGATAAATGCGCCGCATTAGCGAGCGGCCCCTCCCCCCTCCCCACCGTCCCTCCCTTGACTGGGGAAAGGTATTGACTCCAGTGCAGCAGCTGAGCTTCGGCTGATCGGACGTTTTTGGTTAATTTCGCTGCGGGAATTTTAAATCATCTTTAAATTAGGGTCATGCAAACTCAATAAACCAAAGGGCGGCAGGCGGAAGGCGCGTGACTGCTTGGCGAATGTGCTGTGCGTGCGTATGTGTGTGTGTGTCTGTGTGTGTGTGTGTGGCAGCAACAACTCAATTAGCGGCACACACACACACACACACACACACACAAGCGCGCGCGCGCGAGCGCCACACACATTTGCCACAATTTGGCAAACAAATCACGTAGGAGCTGCCGTTGCTTCACTTGCCTGCGCTTACCACCCCGCCCCCTACATATTCCCACCCAACCCCCCCCCCTCCCCCTCTTCCTCTTCACGGACAACTTGTACACATTTTGTACACTGACGCTTCGCCTTTGTTGTTTCATTTTTGCTGATTTCTCTTCGCCCTTGCGGTGGGGCACATGAATGCACAAAATAACTGAATTTGTCATGTTAGTTGCGACCTCTAACCCACACCCACACCCACACCGCAATCCCCTCCCACCGCCCCACCCCACCCCACCCCACTAAGCC